TGAGGCACATCTCCAACCTGAAGCCGTGGGGGCTGTTCGAGGTGCTGCTGGAGAAGTATGAGTGGCCACTGGATCAAGCAGCCCAATTCAGTGACTTCCTGCTCACCATGCTCGAGTTCATCCCAGAGAACCGCGCCACAGCTGCCGAGTGTCTACAGCACCCCTGGATCAACTCCTAACCCGCTCCGTTTTCCTTGTATTCACTGCATTTGTGCGGTCTGTGTCATTTTGGTCCGTCTGATCACTTGGTGCACACATCCACCTTTCAGAGCATAAACTCACTGCTAAGGTAAAACATACTGGAGATACAGAATCTGAGCACAGACCTAGCTAGAACCTCAAACCTGTTGTTTTTTTATGTATATATATATATATATATATATTTAAAGAAGCTTTGATTTCTGAACATGATGCAGATATGTCTGTAGTCTGTTGAGTTTTCATTGTACGGTCATTTAATTGTTTAGAAGGGTCACATATTTATGTTAAAATAGTGCCTTGACATGCCGTCTGCAAAAAAACAAAAACCGAAAAAAAGCCCCTCACCTTTTTATATTTGTCTGCGAATATGTGTGAGGAATGCTTGTTTGTGAACATACAGAACACTGTATGAATACTTGACTTGAATTCAATAAAGCCTTGAGCTCAAACCCTGTGTACCGAAGAATAAAGGATCACTTACAAACACAGATGGCATAATGGAGTATTTTTTTTTAAATCCTGATGTGGTCGCTGTAACATACTGTAACAATGGAGCATGTTTAAACATTTTAAATAATCAAGTATGAGAAAAACTATGAAAACTCAATTTTGGCAGTTTATTGTTCCAAACATGCATTATGTTTTATTTTTCTTCCATTGACTAGTTTAGCATATCCTTATGCTATTTTTGAAAAAACGCAAAACACTAAATAGTTGTAAAATCCAGCACTGCATTTTACTGTTGCTGTGATACTGAAATGACACAAGAGGGCGATAAAGGACCATTGCAGGCATTAACCTACAAGATATAAATAAGGGTTACAGGAAGTCAAAGAGAGAGAATCAGTGTCACGGTTAGACCATAAAAATGTATATACATATTTGTATATGCACGAAAGACCAGACCAGTTACAAAGCATACACAAATGAATTTCCTTAGACTTTGTGTTGAACGAAACCCATGAAAGAGGTCCAGTGAGGTAATCTATCCGTGTTTTAACATCAGTCAGACGCCCCATTCTGTGGGTTTGTTGCGGTTGCAAATGCAGAAGTATCCAGAGCTGGAGAGACAGAGAAGCCCTTAAAAAGTCTTTTAGATTAAGAAATTCATCAGTCTTAATACTGCAAGTCCAGTCACTTTTTCCTGCGTACAACCGTCCAGCCATCATCCTCTTCCTCGTGACTGGCAGCCTGAGGAGGAAGATGCTGCTCCTTCACTGCTGCACCGTTGACTGAAGCTCCGTCTGCCCCTCCATCACACTCCATAGCCTGAGAAAAACAACCAGAGAGAATTCATAAAGGGGACATTTGCATCTAATACTGCATGATATAGTTCATAAATAACGTCAACCAGTACCAAACATTTTGTACCATTACTTAATAAGCATGAAAAAAAAGTAAATATATTTAAATTTTTATGTATTATTGATTTATATATTACACATGAATATGTTTAAAAAATATTTTTTAATTGTTCACACACACACACATAAATAATTATGTGTGTATATATTGTATATATTATAATCGTATATTATTGTATATTATATAGAAATGTTAACATCCATCACATCTCTATCTAAACACACACATATATATACACAAATATATCTTAAAATGTTAATTATAAATATTTAAACATTCATAACAACATGCCAAGTACCAAATATTTTGTACCATTAATTGATTTTTTTAAAATATATTTTTATATTTATATATTATATATATATAAATATGTGTACTTAAAATATTACAAATATTTACAAAATGACACACACACATACATACATATATAAATATATATATATATATAGAGAAGTCAACCTATGAAGTGGATCAAAAAAGTTCATCAAAGTTGTCCAAAGTCAAGAACGCATTTTGGTTTTAGGACAACTTTGATGAAAGGTTTTGATCCACTTCAAATGTTGACTACTGTTGACTACTTCATCTTGACTCTCATCAGCAGCAGCTGCAGGTGTGGCCTTCGCTCTCCCCGCGCTCTTCTTCTGAATCAGCTGCTTGATCTGCTCTCTGACCTCCGTCAGTCTGTCCTGCTGACACTGCTGGAACATCTCACACACCTGCTGCGCCACCTGAGGGACAGTTTCACAAACACACACACATACACACATTCAGACACAGCTCGCCAAGCACAGCTTCGACTAATATCTGTTCAAAACCAAAGCAAACCTGCGGCAAGCTGCCATCATCCACCACCGTGTCAAACTCATTGTTCATCAGGTCTGAGATGAAATCCTCCACTTCATCCTGCTGCAGCTCATCTGTGAGGAGAGGCACACACAGACGGGTTTGCTGAGACATCAGAAGATCTACAAAGCGTTAGTGAAATATTTGCCAGCTCTGACCGTTGTCGATGAAATACTGCCGCAGCGCGTCCACCATCCACTCCGCTTTCTGCTGACTGTACGCGCCACCGAAACCATTATCGACCGCGATCTGTGAGAAAACACTCGGTCCTCAATCCATTCCAGCTACAAATCAATAGTTAGTGCAACTGCTGAAGATCAGCTCGAGCTGCGCATCATCACAATTCCCGTGCAACTAGACGAAATCTCGTGTCAAGGCATAAGACTGAACTTTAAGAGTCGCATGTATGTTTATTGTATATTAACGTCATGTTTGTACTTGACAACGCTAACTTGCTAAGCTGGTAACGTTAGCAGTCTGGTTTCTGAATTCGAAAATGAGGGTCAAACTAAAGCTTGCTTAAGAAATATGACAGTATTCTACGAAATATATATTTTTCGGAATATAATGGTAGAAATTGACTAACTTGCAGCACCGGCCACGTTTCCAAAACAGCCCGAACTGCTTCAGTGAACAATTCACGTGTGGAAGATGCGAGCGGCGCCATCTTGAAAACCAACAGACCTGAAGAGTCGATCACAGATTTCAGAGGGAACGCTGGCTGAAGATGCACCAGGCAAAATAGTCAATCACAGAAACCGCTCAAACACAACTGACTTGACTTGATTACTTCTTAACTTGATTTTTAGTGAAGGTTACCTCTATGCATCAAAAACCCTTACAAAACCTATGGAAATGTATTACTTAAAATTGTATAGATTTTTATGTATTTTTTTCCAATCTTTTGGATAAGTTTGCTCATCACCCAAGAAAGAGGACCTGGTACAAATTATTATTCAGAAATGTATTTTTTTAATATATTTGATCCAATGTAAATTATATATATATATATATATATATATAT